TAAATATGCACTCTCTCTCAAGAAGATACATAATAAATAGGAACGCTAACTGAGGATCCTTTCAATTAACCAAAATCAAAACGTAGTTGAACAAATAGAGATTAACAACCAACTCAAAACTATATTAATATAACAACCAATTCATCCCCAACGGGTTTCACCAAAACCTTAGATAACAAATTAGCTATTCATAATAGTATGTAAAACTACAATATCAAAAGTCATAACCAACAATGAAAAATAAGAAGAGGAAGGAAAAACTTGTTGAAGAATTCACCGCCTTTCTCTCAATGTGTTCTTGCCTCCTTAGGTCTAATTTGTGTCCAAAATATGTCCCCCCCCCCCCCTTGTTCTTGGCCGGCCTCCTACGTTTAATATAGGGTTTAGGACTTAAAATCCCGTATTTTGCACTTTGGTCCCTGAAATTTACGTGTCCTGCCGCGGTCCCACTGCGGTTACGCCAGGACCGCGGCCAGAATGGTCCTCTGAATCTTTGGTAATGTTCTGCCGCGGTGTTCTTTCGCGGTCCAACCGTAACCGCGGTTTTTCACCCTGTTCCATTTGTAATTTGGAAAAACGTAAAACATGAAAGTTGTAGCCCTTTGCGGTAGCTTTTCAAACATATATTGTGGAGCCCAAATGGAGTTCTGAGCAAAACGTTATGTCTATTTTACTAGACAGTACGCAACATGCCTCCTCGAGTCTCCGATCGTACTTAATTATCAAATTTTACCCCCGAATACGATCCCGGCTTAATTCCTTGGGCTTTTACTCATACTTCAAAGCTCCAAATCACTTGAATTCATTCTATAACATCTATATAGCTCGGAATCACTCCTACAAGGCATANAATAAGAAATATAAGCACAACCATGAAGGTGACCATTTTTACCACCACACACATCACACACATTCCACAAATAAGATTGAGTTGGTGCACATAACTCGCTCTTAGGAACGTTTTGAAAATTTTGCCACGGGTGATTTCCTTCACAATATGTATGGAGATCAATAGTAGAATTATCTACACATATATTCCCATAATTCCAAGATGCCATGTTTCTCAAATCAACAGTTATAAAAAAAATACAAAAAAAATAAAAACAAACTAAAAGTTCAAACTTGAACCCTAGCAATATATACAGCTACAACTACACTGTTAGTTCCCCAGCAACGGCGCCAAAATGATCACGCCCAACTCTAGTCCTAAAAAGGATAAGCGGTCGCTCCAAATATAATCCGGTCTATAAGTCCGGAGTCGAATCCCACGGAGAACTAAGGCTTAGCTGTATCTGTTTAATATCACTAAGAAGACAAGATTGAAAATAAATAAACAGCTAAAAACTAACTATGCTTGAATTGCAAACAATTGGAATAAAGGTCTAGGGTAATGGTTTCCCCCGTTGTTGATTTCCTTAGTTGTATGTTTCTTATAGCTTCGAATTAGTTGCCTCTATCAATCATGAACTCTCCAGCTATCATAAATCTCTCTCAAGCAATTATGATAATTTACTAGATGCACTCTCTCAAGCTACGCTAGCTCGATTCGCATTACAGTTCACTTAGATCGCACCCGAGGTATCGTTATCTCTAATCCAACCTCTAAACCCTCGGTTATGACTCTCGCCTATACTCCGGGAGTGATATTGTTCAAACAACTACCTAAATATGCACTCTCTCTCAAGCAGATACATAATAAATAGGAACGCTAACTGAGGATCCTTTCAATTAACCAAAATCAAAACGTAGTTGAACAAATAGAGATTAACAACCAACTCAAAACTATATTAATATAACAACCAATTCATCCCCAACGGGTTTCACCGAAACCTTAGATAACAAATTAGCTATTCATAATAGTATGTAAAACTACAATATCAAAAGTCATAACCAACAATGAAAAATAAGAAGAGGAAGGAAAAACTTGTTGAAGAATTCCACACCTTGCTCTCAATGTGTTCTTGCCTCCTTAGGTCTAATATAGGGTTTAGGGTTTAAAATCCAGTGTTTTGCACTTTGGTCCCTGAAATTTACGTGTCCTTCCGCGGTCTTACCGCGGTTACGCCAGGACCGCGGCCAGAATGGGCCTCTGAATCTTTGGTAATGTTCTGTCGCGGTGTTCTGCCGCGGTCCTACCGTAACCGCTGTTTTTTACCCTGTTCTGGACAAACGTAAAACATGAAAGTTGTAGCCCTTTATGTTAGCTTTCCAACCATATATTGTGGAGCTCAAATGGAGTTCTGAGGAAAAAGTTATGTCTATTTTACTAGACAGTGCGCAATATGCCTCCTCGAGTCTTCGTTCGTACTTAATTATCAAATTTGACCCCCGAATACGATCCCGGCTTAATTCCTTGGGCTTTTACTCAGACTTCAAAGCTCCAAATCACTTGAATTCATTCTATAACATCTATATAGCTCGGAATCACTCCTACAAGGCATAAAACACACTGTTAGTGCAAAACACTAGCGATTAAAGCGCAAACTCAACTAAAGTGCAGTAAATTAGAGTGTAATAATTGACTAAAATACGTAATTATAGCCTATCATCAAACAACATAACTACAATGTCAACAAGAAGCAGAAATCAAATATGTGCACGGCATCACCCTTCGTGCTTTTACTCTCGTCCTTACCAAGCAATAATATAATGAAAACGTGCACGGCATCACCCTTCGTGCTTTTACTCTCTTTCCTCACCAAAGCAATTAGAATAATAAAATGTGCACGGCAACGCCCTTCGTGCTTTTACTCTCTTTCCTCACATATAATCAATAGAATTGGCACGGAATGGTACATCGTGCGGCACGGCATCACCCTTCGTGCTTTACACTGTTTCCTCACAATAGCAAACAATGCGCGGCATCACCCTTCGTGCTTTAACACTCTTCCTCACCCAAACATCAATCACAAACAAGGGCAAGGGAAATAAGCAAGAACATATAGGAATCCCGGCAAGGGAACAACGATTTAAAAATTAAATTCCGGCAAGGGAGCAACAAGTAAATAATTAAATCCCGGAAAGGGAACAACAATTACATAATTAAATCCCGGCAAGGAAACATTTCAATAACTCTTTCTCTATCTTTCACTTGTACTTCATAACTCACTTTACCACTTGAGCCAAGGCTCCAAGGGTTCAATCCTCTCATATACTTTCACAATTCATAATATAACTCGAGCCAATGCTCCAAGATGTTCAAAGGTCTTAATTCCTTCCACAAACTTTTCACAATAACTAGAAATCAACACCAAAGCATGAAGGATACAATGAAATCAAATATTCACGATGTAAAGACTCACGGTCATGATAGACACCAACGTGTAGATACTTGTCACCATGCCTATACGGCGTACACGACTTATCCCACATAGCAAATAGGACTCAACTCCTAATCCCTCAAGCTAAGGTTAGACCAAACACTTACCTCGATGCCTTGAACACAACTCAAGCCTCAATTATAGCTTTACCCCTTGATTCCACCGCCAATTCGCTCGTATCTAATCACAAATTGCTTAATTACATCAATAAGTGCTAAATGAATCAACCCCAATGCATGAAAATGAGTTTTCCAAAGTTTTACTCAAAAAGTCAAAAATCGCCCCCGGGCGCACGTGGTCAAAACCCGAGGTTCGAACCAAAACCCGTTTATCCATTCCCCCACGAACTCAAATATATAATTTATTTTGAAATCGGACCTCAAATTGAGGTCCAAATCCCCAATTTTTGAAAAACCTAGGTTCTACCCAAAACACCCAATTTTCCCCATAAAAATCTTTGATTTTAGGTTGAAATCATGTTAAAAGATGTTAATGATTGAAAGAAATGAGTAAAAACTAACTTACAATTGGTTTGGAAGAAGACTTGTTCTTGGAAAATCGCGTAAGTGTGTTTGGGTTTGAGAAAATATGAAAAATGGGGTTCAAAATCGTTTAAGTGTAAAATTGCATGTCTCTGATACGGGAAATGCGAACAGGGGTTCGCAATTGCGAACCCCGACCTCTGCAGATGTGGGAATTGCGAAACAGGATTCGCATTTGCATACCCTTCAGAAATCCCAAACTTTCGCATTTGCGAAACAAAAGTCGCATTTACGACTTCGCATTTGCGAAGAAGAGATCTCATTTGCGATCGCTGAGGATTTAGGCGGGCATCGCATTTGCGATGCATGGCTCGCATTTGCGAGTCTGGCTTCGCAAATGCGAAGCCTGCAGATCAGAACACGCCAGCTATTTTTCAAAGTCCAAAAATGCACCCGTGGCCTATCCAAAACTCACCCGAGCCCTCGGGGCTCCAAACCAAATATACACACAACCTCAAGAACATTATCCTACGGACTTATTCATGCGATCAAATCGCCAAAATAACATCATAAACAACGAATTAAACCTCAAAATCCATGAATTCTTTCAAACTTCATAAAACATTAAATTTTCCAATTTCGGTCCGAATCACGTCAAACGACGTCCGTTTTTCACCAAATTTTACAGGAATGACTTAAACCATATATAAGACCTGTACCGGGCACCGGAACCAAAATACGGGCCCAATACCAACACGTTCTAATCAATTTTCATTTCAAATTTCCTTAAACAAATTTCAGAAAACAATTTTACAAAAAAATTCATTTCTCGGGCTTGGGACCTCGGAATTTGATTCCGGGCATACGCCCAAGTTCCATATTTTCGTACGAACCCTCCGGGACCGTCAAATCACGGATCCGGGTCCGTTTACCCAAAATGTTGACCAAGGTCAAATTTATTTATTTTAACATCAAAACTTAGCATTTTTCATAGAATTTCATATTTAAGCTTTCCGGTTACGCGTCTGGACTGCGTACGCAAATCGAGATGACTCTAAATGAGGTTATCAAGGCCTCGGAGTCATCGAATTCAATTAAAAACAGGTGATGACCCTTTGGGTCGTCACATTCTCCACCTCTAAAACAAACGTTCGTCCTCGAACGGACAAAAGAAGGAAGTACCTGAGGTTGCGAAAAGATGAGGATAACGGCTTCGCATATCGGACTCGGACTCCCAGGTCGATGCCTCAGGAGGCTGACCTCTCCACTGGACACGAACAGAAGGGAAACTCTTCGACCTCAACTGACGAATCTGCCAGTCTAGAATAGCTACCGGCTCTTCCTCATAAGACAAGTCCTTGTCCAACTGGACATTGCTGAAATCTAACACGTGGGTTGGATCGCCGTGATACCTTCGAAGCATGGACACATGAAACACTGGATGCACGGCTGATAAGCTCGACGGCAAAGCAAGTCTATAAGCCACCTCTCCCACTCGATCAAGAATCTCAAACGGACCAATGAACCTAGGGATAAGCTTCCCTTCTTCCCAAACCTCATCACGCCCTTCATAGGCGACACTCGGAGCAATACCTGCTCACCAACCATAAAAGCCACATCTCGAACCTTGCGGTCTGCATAGCTCTTTTGCCTGGATTGAGCTGAACGAAGCCTATCCTGAATGATCTTGACCTTGTCCAAGGCCTCCTGAACCAGATCTGTACCCAACAACCGAGCCTCTCTCGGCTCAAACCATCCAATCGGAGATCGACACCGCCTACCACACAAAGCCTCATAAGGAGCCATCTGAATGCTCGACTGGTAACTGTTGTTGTAGGCAAACTCTGCTAAGGGCAAAAACTAATCCCACGAACCTCCAAAGTCATAACACAAGCTCGGAGCATATCCTCCAAAATCTGAATAGTCCGCTCGGACTGACCGTCTGTCTGGGATGAAATGTTGTGCTCAACTCAACCCGTGTGCCCAACTCTCGCTAAACTGCTCTCCAGAAGCGCGAGGTAAACTGCGTACCCCGGTCCAAAATGATAGATACGGGCACACCATGAAGGCGAACAATCTCCCGAATATAGATCTCAGCTAACCTCTCGGATGAATAGGAGATTTCTACAGGAATGAAATGCGTTGACTTGGTCAACCTATCAACAATGACCCAAACTGCGTCGAACTTCTTCCGAGTAAGCGGAAGTCCAGTAACAAAGTCCATAGTGATCCGCTCCCACTTCCACTCGGGAATCTCAATCCTCTGAAATACACTACCAGGCCTCTGATGCTCGTACTTAACCTGCTGACAATTCAAACAACGAGCCACATATGCTACGATATCCTTCTTCATCCTACGCCACCAATAATGCTGCCGCAAATCCTGATACATCTTCGCGGCGCCCGGATAAATAGAGTACCGGGAGCTATGGGCCTCCTCCAATATCAACTCTCGGAGCCCATCCACATTAGGCACACATACTCGACCCTGCAATCTCAAAACTCCATCATCATCTAAGGTAACCTGCCTGGCATCTCCGCGCTGCACCGTGTCTCTAAGGACACACAAATGGGGATCATCATACTGCCGATCACGGATACGCTCCAATAATGAAGAACGAGCGACCGTGCAAGCTAGCACACGATTGGGCTCAGAAACATCCAGTCTCACGAACTGATTGGCCAAATCCTGAACATCCAAAGCAAATGGCCTCTCACCGACCGAAATATAAGCAAGACTGCCCATACTGGCTGACTTCGTACTCAAAGCATCGGCCACCACATTGGCCTTTCCCAGATGATATAAAATGGTGATATCATAATCCTTCAACAACTCCAACCACCTTCTCTGCCTCAAATTCAACTCCTTTTGCTTGAACAAGTACTGAAGACTCTTGTGATCCGTGAACACCTCACATGCCACGCCATACAAATAATGCCTCCAAATCTTCAATGCGTGAACTATGGCTGCCAACTCCAAGTCATGAACCGGATAGTTCTTCTCATGAATCTTCAACTGCCTCGAAGCATAGGCAATGACTTTGCCATCCTGCATCAACACTACTCCAAGCCCAACACGGGAAGCATCACAATAGACTATATAAGGACCTGAACCTGTGGGCAAAACCAACACCGGTGCCGTAGTCAGAGATGTCTTGAGCTTCTGAAAGCTCGCCTCACACTAATCCGACCATCTGAACTAGGCACCCTTCTGGGTCAATCTGGTCATCGGGGCTGCAATAGATGAAAACCCCTCCACGAACCGACGATAGTAGCCTGCCAATCCCAAGAAACTCCGAATCTCTATAGCTGATGCTGGTCTATGCCAGTTCTTGACTGCCTCAATCTTCTTTGGGTCCACCTGAATACCCTCTGCTGATACGACATGACCCAGAAATGCAACTGAACTCAACCAGAATTCACACTTCGAGAACTTAGCATATAACCGACTATCCCTCAGAGTCTGAAGAACCACTCTAAGGTGCTGCTCGTGCTCCTCCTGGCTGCGGGAATATATCAATATATCATCAATGAAGACTATCACGAACGAGTCCAAATAAGGCCTGGACACTCGGTTCATCAAATCCATGAAATTTGCTGGGGCATTTGTCAACCCGAATGACATAACCAAGAACTCATAATGCCCATACCGAGTGCGGAAAGCTGTCTTAGGGACATCGGATGCCGTAATCCTCAACTAATGGTAGCCAGATCGTAAGTCAATCTTGGAAAATACCTTGGCACCCTGAAGCTGGTCAAACAAATCATCAATCCTCGGTAGCGGATACTTATTCTTGACTGTAACCTTGTTCAATTGCCGGTAATCAATACACATTCTCATTGACCCATCCTTCTTTTTAACAAACAACACCGGCGCACCCCAAGGCGAAACACTAGGCCTAATGAAGCCCTTCTCAAGCAAATCTTGCAACTGTTCCTTTAACTCTTTCAACTCAGGCGGGGCCATACGATACGGCGGAATAGAAATGGGCTGAGTGCCCGGAGCCAAATCAATGCAGAAATCAATATCCCTGTCGGGTGGCATACCCGGCAGGTCTGAAGGGAAAACATCAGGGAACTCACGAACAACGGGCACAGAATCAATAGAGGGAACCTCAGCACTAGAATCACGAACATATGCTAAATAGGCCAAACACCCCTTCTCGACCATACGCCGAGCCTTCACATACGATATAACACTGCGGGTAGAATGACCAGGAGTCCCTCTCCACTCTAAACGAGGCATACCCGGTAAAGCTAAGGTCACAGTCTTGGCATGACAGTCCAAGATAGCGTGGTAAGGTGATAACCAGTCCATCCCCAATATAATATCGAAGTCAACCATGTCTAAAAGCAACAAATCTACACGAGTCTCAAGACCCCCAATCACCACAATACAAGAACGATGGACTCGATCGACCACGATAGAATCACCCACCGGTGTAGACACATAAACAAGAATACTCAATGAATCACTAGGCATGACCAGGTACGGGGCAAAATAAGATGATACATACGAATACGTAGACCCCGGATCAAATAACACTGAAGCATCTCTATCACAAACCAGAACCGTACCTGTAATAACTGCATCTGAAGCCTCAGCCTCGAGCCTGGCCTGAAGAGCATAACATCGGGGCTGGGCCCCACCACTCTGATCTACCTCTCTGGGACGGCCTGCTGCTGGCTGGCCTCCACCTCTAGCGGCCTGAGCTCCACCTCTAGTACCTCTACCTCCACCTCTAGCACCTCTACCCCCACCTCTAGCTGGCTGAGCGGGCTGTGGAACATCTGGTGCCTGTACCATGGCACGAGAACCCTAATGCTGAGAGCTACTCGGTGCTCGAGGGCAAAATCTGGCAATATGAACCGTGTCACCACAAGTGTAACAAGTCCTCTGCTGCTGAGACTACTGGCCCTGGCGACCTAAATGACCACCCCAAAAACTCTGAAGTGGCGGCGCACTGATAGGAGCGGGTGGTGCACTGTAGGACTGCTGATCGGAATACTGCATCTGGGGACCACGGCCACCTGAAGCTCCGTGAGAAACCTGAAGTGCTGACTGATAAGGCCTAGGAGGATGGCCTCTACCATATGAATCTCTGCCTCCAGACGAGGCACCACTGAATCTGCCTGACTGACGGGGTCTCTTGTCTGCTCTATGACCACCCCCCTGTGATAATACCATCTCAACCCTCCGGGCCACATTGGCCGCCTCCTGGAAGGATATCTCACTCCCAGTCTCTCTAGCCATCTGGAGACGAATCGGATGAATGAGTCCATCAATAAACCATCTCACTCTCTCCCTCTCAGTGGGAAGTATGATAAGAGCATGACGAGCCAACTCAATGAACCTGGTCTCGTACTGGGTGACAGTCATGGATCCCTGCTGAAGGCGCTCGAACTGCCTCCGATAGGCATCTCGCTGTGTAATGGGGAGAAACTTCTCCAAAAATAGCTGTGTGAACTGCTCCCAGGTCAAGGCTGGCAATCCTGCTGGTCTAGCTAAGCAATAATCCCTCCACCATGTCTTGGCGGATCCAGACAAGCGAAATGTAGCAAAATCAACCCCATTGGACTCAACAATCCCCATGTTCCGAAAAACCTCGTGACGACTGTCCAGATAATCCTGGGGATCCTCAAGTGATGCACCATTGAAGGTAGTAGTGAAGAACTTGGTAAACCTGTCCCATCTCCAGGAAGTAAACCTGCCCTGGTGACACTCTCCATGACGGCCCACTAGATGGACCAGAGCGTCCTAGAACGAACTGGGGTGGACAACGT